ACTTGACTTGAAGAAATTAAGGTTTTATTGTTCAAGAAAACACCTACCAGGTGTCTCTTCCACAAAGTGGTAGTTCTTGGGGAGAAAAGCTGTCTTAGAGGAATGTTCTTCTTACAAGTGAAACACAGAGGGATATCGGTGAGTCGACACCGTGAGAGTAGTATGGTGTGTCCTAGTCGTAAAGGTCTAAACTGGTGGAATTAAAGAATGACGTTCATCTGAAGATTTGACATGGAAATACCGATAGAGTAGCAATGAGCTTGGAATTTTGCTTCCGTGGGAAAGAAACTACAGGGGGGAGAATAAGTTTCCTCCACAGGAGCGTGGAAAAGTTTTTGGAAGATTATCAAGTCTGGAAGGTTGGTCTAATAGAAGAAAGGTTGGCACAGAATTCACAGAGATATTAGAAGGGAAAATCAACTAAACCATGATAGATTTAAAGAAAATGAACGGACTCATTATATTTGTGGTTATATTTTTTGCCAGTGTTATGTTTCATTTAATTTTTTTACTCAAACATCTGTCTATATTTCGGAATAGGCTGTTGTAACTATTTAAACTATTTACATTATTCGAACTATTGTCCTCATCTTTATTGTCATATTCACGACGTTTCGGCCATTGTACGCTCAGGCCTTCTTCAGGTGATATACGTTGGAGTTTCGGATGGAACCATTTGTTTAGTCCACAGGAGTAGATTGTTCTACTTCCACAAGCCATGCCTTTTCTGGAGATTTCAGTTTCAGATCTCCCTTAGTTATTTCCCTTTAGTAACTGTTATGGTGCAATATCCTCGCACCCCAGTTATGGTCCAAGTTTAGAACCAAGGAAGAACAACACGAACACAAGAGTAGAATAACAAAGATATATCACAACAGAAATATAGTACAAGAAGTTGAAGATTGTTAGTAATGACTGTCCGTCTGGTTTAGAGTGAACTAATATTGTCTCGACTCGTTACACCATTCATTCGGTATTTAGCCCCCCTCCCAACAAGGCCGAGTTTAATGTGCGTTTCCCGAGCCCGTAGGCTCGGCCAAAATATACCCTTTGAACCCGCCTAGACGGGTTCAGGGCCTGTCTACCTCCCCGGACGAAACCCTGCCCTTCGGCAAAGCTTCGTCCGGGTTCCTCTCTGCCAAAGCAGAGAGTTCAACAGTCATGACCTGGTGCTGGTTAAACCATTCATTCGGTATGTAGACCCCCCCCACGAGGGTTGCATGTGGCACAAGGCCGAGTTTAAGGTGGGTTTCCCGAGCCCGTAGGCTTGGCCAAAAATATACCCTTTGAACCCGCCTGCCTACCTCCCCGGACGAACCCCTGCCCTTCGGCAACACTTCGTCCAGGTTCCTCTCTGCCAAAGCAGAGAGTTCAACAGTCATGACCTTGTGCTCGTTGCACCATTCAGTCATTATACCTCTTGAGAGGCGCAGTATTTATAGTCTCAGGAAGAGTCCATTGTCGTTATAGGTAAGTTCCCATAACAGTAACTCAACTCTACAAGTTTCTGTTCACCTCTGCTGTGTCTAGGTATTGAATTCACAACTCTTTCGATCGTCAGCAACGACACATGACCCAGTGGATAAAAGCGTTGGCTGAAGTAATCCAAATAGTGACACCACACCCCTCCATCTCACAAATGTGGTTCATGGTGACATTCAAAGCGGAATGGGATGTTCCATCCCTCCTTTCAAGGGTGGATTTGTTTTTTAAGTTACCTTCCCTTTGCCTAAAGAGGCGGGGGACATACAAAGCAGTAGATGATTTAAATTCAGAGTTTCTTTCTGCTCAACTGGTTACAACCAATTTTTGTTCTGCTATTTTACTCAAAACCCTCTGATTCCCCAGTCCGTGCCGTTAACCATTATTCTATCATGCCTCCTAAGACAACATTAAATCACACAATTCAGCTCATTCTTTTTGTATCTATGGATGCCTAAATTGCTGAACCTATTGGACATGACCTTTACTTTGATCTTTACCGTGAAAGGTCAAAGCCATCATATATAAATATTCAACGACGGTCGTATGACAGGCAACACTCAATTATTACGATAATAATTGATGAATTATAAAATTGCTTGGAGAAATGGTTCCTACAATGACGCAGTATTCAAAGAATTTGAAAAAAAATAGAGTGATACAACTGTGAAGAATTGCAGAAAAATGGTTCCTACAATGACGCAGTATTCAAAGAATTTGAAAACAATAGAAAAATTGCAGCGAATCAAAATTTAAAAAGATGTCTTTGCAGATGTTTTATACGCACATAAGTCAACAAATCAGGTGCAATGCTAAACAGTTATAAGTCGAAATTAATAACTTAAAAGGACCTTCGAAATCACTTTTATCTTTTAGCACCAAGCAAACTCGGAAAAAATGTCTGTGGGATTAGTTTCCTAGCTATTACCCACGACAATGAGCTTAACTATTTTCCTAATGTCACGTTTCTTCAAGACGGGGCCGATCATAACTCTTCACAAACTCCTTTCCTTTTATTATCTATGAATTGTCATGAATCTTTCATAAGTATAGTGGAGTTATTTCTCGCTACCTCCTCCATAATTTCGATGTCATTTGCCTAGAGTGGTCGCCGTGAAAGGCTACAAATGTCACTTTTCTATTTGACACGTAGCTAAGGGTGGATAGGGAATGATGGAGTCATGCCTTTCGTAAGGGCAATAGTAAGAAATCGAACGGAACAGTCCAAACCGGAATTTGAACCTCGACTCGTCGATTGATCTTTCGACGTTTTTAACCGTTACACTATGAAAATACCTGAAAAGTTTAGCTTACGATAGTATGAAGCCTGACAGGAATCGAACAGGATCGAACCCACCACTGTTGAAATACACTTTGAAACGATTTTTTTAACCACCGCAAGAAGCCCAAGATCAAGAAATATATATGTACAGAATTTTCATCGCATGATTTGGAAATGGGCGAAAACGATTTTACAAATACACAAATGTACAGACTGTAATGGTAGAAAGAGAGAAACAATAACAAATGGAAAGGAAAAAAAAGAAGTTTGTCTTGAAATACCGTTGATCCCATGTACGATGTCTTAAGCATCGGAGGACGAAGGGCATTGATGTCAGTGGGGGCCATATTGAAAAATAGTGAAAACTGTCTTGTTTCTCCAACTCCTTCTGGGCGAGGCTTAGAACTTTTTGAACGACCCTTGTACAAAGATTTTTTTTTTGTACGAACGGAAGATTTCAAAGACAGCATAGCTTCTTGCAGGGTTCGAACGCACTACTTTTTTTCTATCTCCGTCGCAACGATACGCACGTGCTTATCTTTCTAACACCATTCTGGTCGCTTTCATAAAACTCACTGTTGAAAGTCGTGAGGCAAACGACCAGAGAAATCAGGCTGGCTTCTGCTGGGGAGATCATTTTGAGCTGCTAAATAACAAACCTGGTTTGTTTACAAGATGAGTGAAAAAAAAAGAGACTCAACCAATGAAAGAACAGTTCGAATGTGTATGTTATCAGCCAAGAGAAAGAGAAAACTGGAATTGTAATTTAATGCCTATTCTTGAGATAAGAAGCATCACATGTGAATCAAGAACAGCTTCCATTCTTGGACAAAGATGAGAAACTCTTTAATAATTAAAACTGACTTGGAACTGGGGATACATTCCATAAAAAATACACCTGCTTATTATGCACAAAATAAATTTGCACATTCCCTAATCTCCACGGTGTACTATTAATACTTTTAGGATAACGTCTTTTGCTCCGTTTTCCTTCGGAGCGTGGGCGAACATAGCTCACCGCATCTTTCTATATTTTGTAGCTCTAAACAATGTTTTAACGTATTCTTTGGTCCTCGCACTGACATTCATTAGGTTAGGAATGTGAGCGATCATGGCTCTCCACAACATCCTGTCTCTTGACGTTTGACTCTTCACTGTATTTCTTTGTTTCTGTTCTGCCATCCAGCTACAGAAACTCGTTAAGTATGTGAGCGATCATGGCTCTCCACAATTTCATGTCCTTTGTAGCTCTAAGCAACTTCTGACTCTTTACTGTTTTTCTTTGCTGTCATCCATTCAAAGACAAAGCCACATTATATGCCTAAAGAATTTCAACTGACTTTTCCTGAGTCTGCGTATAGGTGTTCCTTTTGTTACCATTTTCTTTAAAACGTATTGCTTACTCGTGACGTCCATGGTATTCTCAGTATCCTTCTGTAGACCCACATTTCTGTTGTCACTAATTTTCTTCTCATCCATTGGATAAGAAAATCAATAACATCGTTACTCTTAGGTGCCTAATACGAGGGATTATCATACTAATCGTGTGGGGATAGGAATTTTCATTAATATCGGGGTCTTAATAAAAGAGGGTTGGAAAATCAATTAAAGGGTAAAAAATGCGAATTATTATTCTTAATAAGCTTGTGGGGGACCAAAATTTTACCAATAAATAAATAAAAAATATAAATAAACCTTCCTTTTTCTATTACGCCTCTAATTTTATTGAATAAATTATATTATTGTGTAATTTTGTTAAATATATCTGTTAGAATGAGATGTCAGCATTATCTTCATTTTTTATAGACGACTATTCATCCATCGCACTCTGTATATATTATTTAATATTGTTTATTTCTGGAGGTGATGTAAATATACATCGAAATATGAACATAATTATGAATTTTGTGTTTAGTTTTATTATTTAATGGAGAATCACATGATCTTCGGGATTACTTTGATCCGACACCTACATCCAATCTGATGATAAAAAAATAATTTATTTGAAACAAAACATTTATTTTTCAGCATAATATCCTTCATTGTCAATGCACTTAATTCAATCGTGGATATTAATCACACTGAGCTAACATTGTACATTGGTAACGGTAGTAGTGGAACTGTTTCCAATGATGAAACCATCGCCATTTACTTATCGACGAATCTTTCAGGAAATTAGGCTACTAAAATGCACTAAGCGTTATCGCTTTTGCTAATAGTGAAGCTTACAGCCGCATCATGTTGAAACACCTATTCCGTGCAATCACCGAAGTTAAGCATCGTCGAGTCTGGTCAGTACCTTGATGGGTGATCACTTGGGAATGTCAGGTGCTGTATGGTTGGATGGGAAATTAATGCAAAGGCGAATGGCACAGAATTGTTAATCGGAGAGCCGAGTTCCAATTTCCGGTGAGTTAGTTGTATTCACTTATGCGTAAATGCCCTTAGGAAAGGCATGAAACCACTTCTTCTTTCCCAGCTATGGGTGAATTAATAAAACTTGTATCCCTGAGACTATTATCATCTTAAAAAATGTACTATCTAAAATTATTTTCTGGCTTTAAATAATCCGCAAAAAGTTGATAAGCCCTAAAAAGACGAATTAATATAATACTGATAAGAGTTTCCTTCCAACCTTTTTGGCTTTGGTATTGTGGAACGCTAACAGATTGGTTATATCTTTATTTTCTATTTAAGTTATATGTGTTCCCATTTTGTTGTTGCCGTTGAAAGAGATCAAGTGATTTTTTTTATTTTGTAAAATTCTCCGTTCGTGATTTTGTAGCACCAGCCTGTAGTGTTTTACAGAATGCGAAAGGTCAGGGCTAGAATGGTCAGCCATTGGTCTGAATACCTCGTGGGCGTGGTATTCTGACAGTGACGCATTGTCTTTTTCTGGGTTTTGGATATAAAGCGAAAACGACGCAAAATCAACAGAAGGTCGCAAGAATTCTGAAGCGCCGATACGCCACCCACACCTAGGTTAGTGGCCGGCTAATACCACCCTCAGAAGGACGCTGAGCCAAATTATGACATGCGTTCCTGTGACGTCACTCATCCCACTGCCTCTTTGAATCCAAGCTGCCACTGCTCTCACCTAATAAAATGAATGAGAAAAAGAAATGGCCTTTTTTGTTGTTACCATTTTAGGTAGTAGCGTGGGAGACCCAGATACGACACGGGACGCAAGATGTGTCTGGTGAAGCATCGTCTTTAAGAATCAAAGGAATTATTCGTTTGAAGCCATTTTTAATCATTGATCAGAGAAAACGGTTGTATACGAATGGCAGTAGGATATTTCTGAACGTGTTGCGTACCATACATGAAAATGAAATCCATATGAAAGTCCCGTCTGGACGAGGCTATTTAAGAACATGACTCGAATACTCGGGTTGATATTTTGGTTTCGTTGCATCGTATAGTATTGGACAAAAATTTCCCTAGCTCAGCTTGTCTTGTGTTCTATTCCCTGATAGTGATTCAGGTTCAAAATCCAATTTTAAAATCTGTGTCAATCTAAGAACTTATTGACCGAATTTCGTAATTCTGAGACGGGATGCGACTCAAGGTCGTGTTTAACGTGGGGATCCCGAGCGCGGACTCCCGGGCCAAAAACAACAATATCCCAACCCTACCGATATCTATTCTTTAGTGCAATGGGTGTGCAGCCTCGGGCAGCTGTTTCCCAGCACTGCGCACCTCACAGTATTTATTTTTTTCAGTTGCGTCTCTGCCTGCCCGACCGAACCACAGTTGTGTTGCAATCTGCCCGAAGACAGAGACTCAACTATAAGCCTGTGTATCATGAGTATTATGAAACGGACTGATTTTCAGTTCCCAAACTGAACAACTGTCGTCTTATGTAGCCAGTGTGATGTTTTGATTTAATCTGCTCCCTTCTTCAAAAAAAGAAAAAAAAATTCCAATTTTTTCAATCATTGGATTAAACAGTCCGTTTACAAATAACAAAACAACGCAATACAATCACCTTCCTTACCCACCCACCCGTTTAACGACCCCTGGACTTACGACCAACAATATACATTCGGCAGCAAAGCCTCTGATAGGGAGATTGGCGGTTTTGAGGCGCGTGGAAGCACCTTTTAATTGCTGTTGTTCCAAAGTCTAATCTGACCTGGGTCAGTGGCACTTGTTAAGGTCCAAGCTATGGGAAAATAGTGACCACCCGCCCAAAAAAACACTATGAAAATATAAAAATGCATTTTTATAGTAAAATTATCAGCAATACACTTTTCTATAAAAAAAATTACGAACAATATCTATTAATACTAAAATAACCAACAATACATTTTATGTGTATTTGAAAGCATACAGTTGTGTACAAAAAATGTTTAGATTTCGACTCTAAATAACCCATAGAGGTTGATATGCGCCTCAACAAAATCGATTTTTTAATAAAATTGCCAACAATAAATATTTAAATCAAAATGACCAGAAATACATTTAATCTGTAGTTGAAGGCATACAATTGCGTTCAAAATGTGTGAAATTCGGTATAAAATAACCCAAAGAGGTTTATATGCCGCGAAACAAAATCAACCAATCAACGACCAACTATATAATCACATTAAAAAATGATCCAACCAATCAGTATTAGATGTTATAGTTTGATTATGATTCTTCAAAATGAATCAGATTAAATAAAAGGAATATATAAAGGGAAAAATAAATAAAACATTTACTTGTATGTAAACAGAAGTAATATACAGAATACAGAGTTGATTTTTCACATTTGTTTATTAAACGAATTAAATACTGTTCAATAAATTACTGTACTCTGTAAACTTTGAGAACAAAATTAGAAATGTTACAAATTGAGCAAACGTGATATTACATCTATTGGTAGACAAGAAGCCATTACACGCATATTAAGCCTGAAATAGCGATCATCTACAACTTTTCAATTAGCGATTAGAATGGAACCCAGTTCTTAAGTGAGTAGTAGTTTTAATATTGTACGGCAGTATAAAGGCGAAAAAAAATCATGTGTTGTAAATGCAAGTCAAGAATAAGCCACAAGTCTTGACTGAAGAATCTTTTCGCAGGTTGACGAAAAGATGAATGTAAACAAACACATTTTACTTTCATACATGCACATATAGTGGTAATCTGTCAGTTTCCTGTAGACTATGGCGTCGACGCGGTTGGCTCGGTAATCCTTGTTGTAGACACATGCTCAGTCACATTTTGCATTTCTCGAATACCTGCAGAGCCAACCTGGGGTTGATACTGCAGATATGTTGAGCGGAACTTAGTTTCTGAGAGAGCGCAGATATCCTGGCGTGGTCAACAGTCTGAACAAGGCCAGTACGCTGAAATCTTCGGGCACGATGACTTAGGGCTTCGTGCTGGTGCAAACACTGACGATTCCCGAATACTTCTGCCTATCTAATTTCACTCATACAATGTGGGCTTTTATAAAACTTATAAAAATCAGTATAAATAAAGACAAAATGAAATTTGTTCTTTACCAAGGCATTTCATCCACCGACGGATATTATACGTATTTAGTACTTAAATTTGAAAACCTAACGATATTTTTTATTGCTTCCATATCTGGGTTGATTCATCGCACCCCCCAGTAACTATCTGACACCCCCTGCTATACTCTATGTTTCTAAAAGCAAGATCAGACCAAAAATCGAGTATTGCTGCCATATCTGGGGCTTGTGGGTGATATATTATTTTCACCCCTGCAACCCCTTCCATACAGACGAAACATCGCATGCCTCTCGCTGCTTTATTTACATGTCATGTGTTATGACGAGCTATATCTCTGGGTTCCACCAGCTCTTACATTTACAACAGAAACCCACCAATTGTTGATCCTCTCCATTCCCTTTGTATACCATTAATAAATTCTACTCGGATACATCTTCCCAAGAACTACTGCTTTGCGGAACAGAATCCTGGCAGGATATTTCCCAAATTACTACGATGTTAACCGTTTCAATTCTAAGATTAACCGTTATCTATTTGCCTTCTCTTACGGTCACACAACACTCGAGGCAACGGGTGTATGGCTCTACAGAAGGATTCTAAGGATAGCTGAAATTTCTGGGACACGTAATGAGAAAGGAGGGATTGATGAATCTGATACTGACATGGCGGATAAAGGAAAAACAAAGCGTAACATACCTAGCAGGCTTAAGCAAGCGGATAACGGAACATGGTTTAGGAGAAGTAGCAAAAGGATAAAACATTTATGTCCCGTGTTCCTTCAGAACGTAGGCGATTATGGCTCTCCACTACTTCCTATCCCTTGTAGCTCTCAATAAGTTTTGTCCCATTGCTATTTCTCCAGACCCTATTCTGTCATCCACTTGCTCAAGCCCGCTATGTATGACACGCGTTTCTTTCCCTTGTCTCTCTCTCTCTTTCTGTTCGGCCAGTGTGTATCAGATTCTCCAAGCCCTCCTTTCTCATTACGTGTCCTAGAAAATTCAGCTTCCTCTTCCCGGTGTTAAGTATAAGTTTAATCTTTGTTTGCATCCTCTCCAAAACGTCATCATTGCTCACACGCTCGGTCCATGATATTCTCAACATCCCTCTGTAGAACGTAACATCCGTTGCCTCAAGTCTCTACTTCATCTTTGAGGAGAATGTCCAACATTCGCTGCCGTTAATCTGTGACATTTTTAGGCATTGTGATAGCAAGAACGTCTTGAAAAGTACAAGGTCAAGTGACACAACTTTTAAGGCAGATCCCAGCGCTTTGTTAGAAAGATATCGGGAAGGGAAATTGAATGAAATGGGCAACAGAATACATGAAATTGGAGTCTTCAACCATTCATTTCAACAACGAATATGAGGGATGAGTCAGGCGGAAGAAGCAAAAGTGGATACTGACAGAAACCATTATCATAGGTTCTCAACAAGGCAAAAGTGGTATCAAGTTTTGGGGTGGGATTGTAAACTGTGATGTAAAGAGTTCCAGATGGTGTAAAGAAAACAGCTCAGAGGTACATTGAATTCTTTGAAGGCATAGGTGGAGCTATGTTTCAAGCAGAAGCTAAATCGCGTTTTTTTTATGCACAACAATGCTAAATCACATTAAGCAAAGAAAACAATAAAACGTATTTCAGCGATATCCATTTGATGAGGTGAACGGCTTATTTATCTTGCCATCAGCGATTAGAAACTAGTGGCGCATTCCGTAAATGTGCGGTGGAATGTTATTCTGGGTACTGTGCCGTCGGTTTCAAACATACAACGGCTCATAAAAATCCATGGATGTACGACTTATAAATCTAGTTTCAAGTGAATGTTGTTATAGTTTTGTCGCCATCGAAATGAAACTGTTTTCATTTATGTGGATTTAGCGTGCATTTGCTATTAGAATTTTTGATAGAACATGTAGACTTACAAAAGCCGACAAAAAATAATTGTTGCCTCATCGTAAGAGTGATATATTGTTCCCTATATTTTATAAGTAATATGTGAAATACCCATCATTAACAGTGCGAATATTTTTTTTATATTTCGTTAGAAAAATAAAACGTGGCTACAAATGAGAGGCACAGTGTAGATATAAATAGTTAACAATATTCTATTGAGAGGACAGACTATGCCTATTTCCTCATATGAGAGAAAGTCAGAGAGGGAGAAAGATAGAAAGAGATAATACAATATCAAGTTTTATCTGTTTACCTATTTACATAGAATCGCTCTCGCTCCACATCAATCCCAATATATACATACATACATACATACATACATAAATATATATATTCTTACAAGTGGAACTGTAATGGTATCTTAATTCCAATTGTAAAAAAAATACTCCGTTTAATGAAAACAAACATTGATCGCTTTTGTGAGTCAGTTTTAACATTTAATATTTCAAATCTTATATTGTGTTAAAAGGACTCGCTTGGGTTTTACCAACGGATTACTACCTATATATATATATATATATATATATATATATATATATATATTCCATTCTTACGAAAAAGCGTGGTTGGCTCTACAAAAGCCCACAACACTAGAATCTATAATCAAATCCTATGTTCAGATGATCTGGTAGTTCGTTTCTGATGAACATCGAAAGGAATGGGAAAGTCCAATATATATATATATATATATATATATATATATATAGAGAGAGAGAGAGAGAGAGAGAGAGAGAGAGAGAGAGAGGTGAGAGAGAGCGAGAGTGGGAGGGAGAGAGAGAGAGGTAGATAGATAGACCCATACACACACAGACACACATATATATATATAGGCATATATACATACGTACATATATATATATACGTACATATTGAGACACACACACATATATATATATATGATAAAATATAGTTTTAAGGTATATTATATTTATGAATAAACGGTTTCAAAAATTCAATAAATCTACGTATATATATAAAAGTGGACACATCAATATCAAGTGTTGACATTCTGTTTCATGCTTCAGGCCATCATACATATATATATATATATATATATATATATATATATATATATATATATATATATATATATAAAAAAAGTTTAATGGTCAGAGTCGAATCAAACCAGGAAACAGTAGTATTAAAAAAGTGTTCTATACACGTGTGAAAAAAACAAAAGTAAAAAGAACATGTGGAACTTTTAACTTTAAAAATCCGGAGGTCAGTCGAATTCGCTATCTTGGTTTCAACCTAACCGTAAGGTTGAAACCATGTTAGCGGATTCAGTTTTTTGCTCTTGATTTTTGAAACATGAGAACTCTTACGTAGCGAAGGAATCATATTTTTTTAAAATAATTATAATATATATATATATATATATATATATATATATATATATATATAGTGTGTGTGTGTGTGTGTGTAAAGTGAAAGAGAGGCATAGATACATATAAATAGGCATATATATATATGTGTGTGTGTGTGTGTGTGTGTGTGTAGACATACACACATATAGAGACCCCCCCGAATATATATATATATATATATATATATATATATATATATATATATATACAGAGAGAGAGAGAGAGAGAGAGAGAGAGAAAGAGAGGGAGAAAAGAAAGAAAAGAGCGGGGTGGTGGAAGAGTAATAAAGATAGAAAATGAAAACAATGTCTTTCTTCCCCCCCGTCTCTTCGCGCTGATATTTGACGAAATTAGGAAGAGTTTGAATAATATGAACATAAGTTTGAATTTGCTATTATTATGTTTATCAAGCATCCGTCAACTGAATAACTGTATTGCCATTCGGTTTTCGCACCACAATATTAACAAATAGATTTTTAATTTGTTAGTTCTCTCCAATTGCTTCGTCACATTAAGATACATCTATTTAGCCTTGTTAAATATTGAATAAATTAACAAAAAACAAAACAGATTGTGTAGAGATTTTTATACATTGGCTTTTCTATCAAGATTCAAAATCAAGCAGCAACCCTGTTGCTTCGAGTTGATACCTTTTTACCATCATCATGGACACAGTAGTAGCTGACACAACCTTCCAAGATGACTACCTTCTCACGTAGCGATTCTACTGTAATTGTACAATGCCGTTTAATTTTAACGACTCATTGTCAGTTGAAAGATAATATCCCCTCGTCGTTTCTTTTTCTCTCTTTTATTTATTTATTTTTTTTTACTGTTGCTCAAGCCAGGAAATCAAACGTTTTCCGTTGTAAATAGAAAACGAACACCCACATACGGAATTCATCAAAAATGTTGAAAGACGCCTTTAAATTTAAGGCTCGTTCGTAATTATAAAGATTTTTTTTTCTTTTGATTCCTTTTTGAAAGTAAACTGTGATTCCAAAACAATCACACACACGCACACAAACATGTGTGTATCAGTGGCTTTATCGCCTTGCTTGGGATGAAATGATTAAAGAACAAACAAAACCAACCAAACAAATAATACAAAATCAAAAAAAAAAAAAAAGACCCCTTGTCAACACTGATCACCATTACTAGTTGTGCAACATGCGTTAAGGGGTTATTTATTTACATATATTTTTAAATCGACACCTGCTTTTACGGCCGATTCAGGTCGACGCATGGACGTTGCTGTAGCGGTTTTAGTATGAGAAACAACGTGTAACTGACAAACTGACTGTACAACACCCACATATTTTAAGTCGGCTGCGTAGACAAAGTTCACGTTCAAAACACACACACACATCGAAATAAACGGTTTTTCTTCACGTTTTCATAGCATCGGTAGAGATTTCGATTAGTAATTGCAAAACATTTTGCATCAAATTCACATTCACTCAGCATTGATTTAAAACGGACGAAAGACAATATTAGCTCGATAGATTTTTGATTAAGGTTTTTCTTTTTCCAACGACGTATTGTAATTATTACAATGTGTATTGGTTGTTCAGTTTAAATTTCTTCTTGACAGCTATTTTTTTTAAAAAAAAAAAAGATTTTGTAAACATTTCTCAATTTCGACATTACAAAATACGACAGACACGCGAGAACGTCCTAAGGATAGAACAGCAATAATAATAATAATAATAATAATAATAATAATAATAAGAAGAAGAAGAAGAAGAAGAAGAAGAAGAAGAATTTTTACAAAAAATGATCAGTGAAAAATGTTATGAAGCCATTTCTGAACTTACGTTACCGGTTGGCACCCGGAAGGAAATGTGTATATAACAGAAATCAAGGGAAATAATAATAATAATAATAATAATAATAATAATAATAATAATAATGCCAAAAGAAAACTACGAAACTAGTCCGAATAGAAATACCAGTAAGTTGTAAAATATAGATAAACTTTATCAATCAAATAGTGTAAAATTATAATCACCACGAAATAGTCGAGTGAGTGGGAGGGAGGCGGAGAGACAGCAAGAGATAGAGGGAGAAGGAGGAGAGAAAGATGGAGATAGAGAGAGAAAGAGACTAGAGCAGGTAATTATTGAAAATATTCTAACAGTTTACACAGCAAAGATAACATGTTGCTTGAATTATTTTTAAAGCGTCCGCGAAATTTACGACGTTATTACTACACAATACTTGAAAGTTAGCAATGTTTACAAAAAAACATAAATAAATAAATAAATAAATAAATAAAACACGTCCATTCATTCAGTTTGTAACAAATAATGAAGCATTAAAAATAAAAAGAACCAGGATGCAGAGAGAGAAAAAAGAAAAAACGAAAAATTGGAAAGCAGTCAAGTCCACGCACATCACAGCTTGCGTTGGATATGATCAAATGCTACAATATTCTGTACCTACATTTATGTTCGTTATGGTAACTGTGTACGAGTAGAAAAAAAAACAAACAAACAAAAAAAGGAATACTTACAGTAGAATAACGTCGCAGTAGAGTATCTTTTGATATCTTTTTTTTGTCTATTTTTAAATAATATCCCGACGGTTTCAGTAAAAATATGGAACGAATAGACGTTTTCTAATAACTGTTAACTATTTTGCCGGACGCACACTTTCAGACGATGGACCAGCTGTGTCGAAACGGGAAGTGATAGAAAGAGAAAAGAAAAAGGAGAGAGAGGGGAGGCGGATAGTTCGCTTATACGAACTTGGTTTGTGATTAGTAGCGGTTTAGCTGTAGTGTAGCCTTATGCTTATATATACATACATGAAGAAAAACAGTAATAATAAAATACGGTGGAGTTACTACTGCTTTGTAAAACAAAACAAAAACCTCCGATTCAACAGTTGATTTATACTCCAAATCCGAGGAAAAGGGATAAAATTCGTAAATTCATTTAGAGATCGAAATAAAAGTGTTTACTGGTTCGTAATTCATATATATATATATATATATATATATATATATATATATATATATATATATATATATATATATATATATATATATAAAAAATGGGGAAAAAAGGGTAAATAAAATACTACCTTGCTCTCTGGTTCCGTTAGATAAATTAAAAGAAAAAAAAAAACGTGGTTGAAAGAAGTCGGTCCAAGTGTGTGGAGATATTAGTTGAAACGTTCCAACTGGTTAGAAAGATGTGTTCCAAATGGTAAGGGTAAGGGACAAAACTCGTAGCTCATTGTATGAAGTCACATCTGTCTCTCATGGATGTGTGTACGCATATGAATGTAAAGTATATCCTGTTTGGTGTTACCTATAAATGGATATATCCACTGGATTTCTCTTTCTTTCTTTCTTTTTTTTTTTTTTTCCCTTTTTTTGAATGGCCAAAGAGACAGTGTTTGCTGGCGTCATAAGAATGGGTGCGTAACAGCACCGATGAGTAGGAAAAGGCTGGGAGCAGATCCTCTCTCTCTCTCTCTCTCTCTCTCTCTCTCTCTCTCTCTCGCTCACACATACGCACGTACGAACAGGCGCGCGCACACACACTTACTGAGTTACGTAAACAGATATAAACAGGCAGACATACACGAGCAGTCACGCACAGATAGATAGATAGATAGATAGATAGATAGATAGATAGATAGATAGATAGATATGACCAGAGATAGATAGATAGATAGATAGATAGATAGATAGATAGATAGATAGATATGACCAGAGATAGATAGATAGATAGATAGATAGATAGATAGATAGATAGATTGTTGAACAGACTGTCACATATTCCTAGTTACAAACGCACACTGCGATAGATAGATACATATGAACACTCTTCCACATACGCAGTCACATACACACACAGATATACATACGTCCAGTCACATACACAACACGCACGCACGCACACACACACACACACACACATATATATATATACACACACACATATATATATGTGTGTGTGTGTGTCTGTGTGAGTGAGTGTGTGTGAAAACAACATTCTAAGCTGGAGCTAACTTATAGCTTGAAGTTATATGTACGTACGTATGTATGTATGTATTATCTAATTATCTATCTATCTATCAATCACTTTAGACATATTCTGCATATATATATATATATATATATATATATATATATATATATATATATATATATATATATACAGAATATAGGTAGATAGATAGATAGATTGCGGAATCTAAGAACCCAGTTCGAATTCGAGTCATTACATTCACTTTCGTGCTATTACCCTTGGGAAAGGTATGAATGCATCTTTTTTCTATCCCCCAGCAATGGCTAAATAGCAGGAGAGACAGATTTGATAGCCTTGGGTGGCAACCTGTCTAGGAGAAGCAAACCTCGGTATTCAAATTTCTCTGTAGTTTGGCGATGCACATCCAATGCAGTTAAGGAAAGGATCGTTCACACTGACTCCATGATCCCGACTACGGTTGATTCATCTATATTTGAGGGATTTCATAGTAAATGCGGGCCGTTTGTTTACTTGTTTCGACAAATTTCAAACTTCAGGGATTTGGACGGAACGGTTTAAGAATTAGCGTCACGGCAAAATAATTAGGTCAACCATGTTTACATTCTGTTCATAACGGTTTATGTTCTCTTCAAAATTAAAGGCATGAAACCGTTTTCCCCTGTGAGCTCTCACATCACCGGTTATCTTGACACAAAATATCTTGTCGCTAAAGATGCATTCCAAAAGCCAGGCAGAGTATTATGAGACAGGAGGATTTCGTTGGTAAAAAAAAGAAAAGAGTACTGAACTGCTACGTGATATCTGTCCTCCTTAAGGCAGCGAATGCTGGACGGTCTCCTCAAAGATGAAGACGAGACTCGAGGCAACGAGGGTATGGGTCTACAGAAGGATGCTAAGGATACGATGGACCAAATATGTGAGCAACGACGAGGTTTTGAAGAAGATGCAAACAAGGAGGAAACTTATACTTAACATCAGGAAGAGGCAGATGAAATTTCTGGGACACGTAATGAGAAAAGAGGGTTTAGAGAATCTGATGCTCACATGGCGGATAGAGGGAAAAAGAGACAAGGGAAAACAATGCGTAACATACCTAGCAGGCTTAAGCAAGTGGATGACAGAACAGGGTCTGGGAGAAGTAGCAAAAAGACAAAACATATTGAGAGCTACAAGGGATAGGAGAAGTGGAGAGCCATGATCGCCTACGTCCTGAAGGGACACAGCACATAAAAGAAGAAGGTGGTTGACAGGTGGTGGGAAGAGAGGGTACTTGAACAGTTTGCGCTTCAGTACATACCTTATTTATTTAAGCAGTAGTATAAAAAAAGTCGTTACCGCTGTTGTTAACCTTCAAAGGGACCGCATGACTAAAGTTGGACCAAACTCTTATAATAATTATATTTTTTTACAATAATTTTCAATTTGTATAAGGCCCAAGAGCCACTCGAAATAGAGGTTTACAGAGTAGGAGGCACAGTTTATGGGGATATGTAGGGAAGATAACGGTTTTCCCTGGACTTGAACAGGTTAAAATTGTAGTTATCTGGGAAACATCCCCTGCTCGGGTGGAACTTACATTTCACAAAAGAATTACGAAGGGAATGGGGGTGATTCGCTACAATGTGCGTGGCATGGCAGGTCTTAGACACGTGGTTAAAACTGGTGAAATTAAGGAATGGTGTGCGTCGAAAGACTTTCCATGGAAATAGAGTTAGAGTAGCGAGTAACTTCCGACGATTCGTCTCTGGGAAAGAGGTTGACGTTTAGAAAATAATTCATTGTAAACAAATACAATTTTTCACTCTATCAAAACTGGAAAATGAAGACAGGACAGTTCCTATGCATATATGGCCTTTTCGGTGTTAATATTTTTGCAGCTTAAAGCTGGCTAGAAACTATGAATCCGGAAGAGAGGTCCACAAGCGTGTTCAATGTTTTATTGTTTATAGCGATTTTCCAAGTGTAGCTTAGATGAGGCACATTCGTAATTGTTCGAACGAGACCAGTTTGCTAACCATTACACCGCTTCGGAGTGCCCCGTACCATTGTTTATAAGTATTTATTAAAATTAGCTTCTTTTTTTTTATCCCGTGACCCGTATGGTCATTGTGGCGCCATGTGTACTGCAGCCACAGTAGAAGGGGGTTCTTGATAAGCTCCGGAGGCGGATATGCAATATAATTGGCCCTGTTCTGGCATCTCGTCAACAGTCGCTCTCTCACAGACGCGCCGTCGTCTCTCTTTGCCTTTTTTTTACAAATACTTTCATGGCAATTGCTCCAAGGAGCTGCATTCACTGGTTCCCAGACTTCATGAATTCAAGCGCCCTACGAGGCTGGCATCCCGCTCTCACCCTTTCACTGTCGAAACTACTAAATGCAGCCGCCTCTTCTACTCCAATAGCTTCATATCTCGCACCTCTCGCTTGTGGAATTCCCTTCTCTATTCCAGTTTCCCTTGAGAGCTATAATCTCCAACTATTCGAATGTAATGTCAATCGACATCTCCAGATGCTTTAATCTATCCACTATCCTTCTCCTCATCCTTTCTTCTATCACTCCTATCTGATCTTGCTCCAAATCTTCTGTAACCCCTTGCGTCCTAGTGGCTTCCCGCCTTGCTTGGGGTGAAACGCTTAAAAAAAAAAAAAAAAAAAAGTGATATTTCTCGGCCAAAATATAAAGACGGAGCCCAACCCACTCCAGGTCAAAAATTAGCTTAGCTGACACATGACCAAGAATATAGAGCACTTGGTGAGCAACGTTAACTGCAGTTGTAATAATCGATGAAACTATTGGAGCAAACGTTGACTGTTTACATGTGTACGTCTTCCGTAATGGCATTAGTGTAAAGTTGTTAAGTAAAAGATCCAATTAGGAGAACACTGTTGGAATTGCTAAGTAACCTTGACATATTTGGGAAGGATATTAGAATAATACAGAACTTATAATGGGAGCAAACCGCCTGCAATCCGGATAGAAAATGAATTTACAAAAATAGAAAGTGGGAGGGTGAGACAAGGATGTGTCGTCTCACCGGACTTATTCAACATATACAATGAGGCAAGTCTGAGATAATTAGAACTCCTACCAAGATTTATTATTAACGGCCACAATTTTAACAACATAACACATGCTGCTGACACAGTGTTGATAGCAGACACAGAAAGGAAACTAAAAAATTCCTAATGAAGGAAAACGAGAAGAAAGGACTAAACGTCAATTACAAGAAGACAGAATAGATGGTTGTTAGCAAAAGGTACAGGCCAACATGAAAATTACCAATTGGAGATATCAAAATCAAACAAATACAACAAGTTAAATACTTGATTAGTGTTTCCAGAGAGGACGGCAAATCCGACACTGAAATTGGGATAGCGAAAGATGCCTTCCAAAAGGTAAGCAATGTATTACGGAATAGGAAAATTTTGTTGGAAACAAAGAAAAGACTACTGAACTATAATAAAATATCAGTGCCCCTATATAGCAGTGAATGTTGAGCAATCTCCTTACTGAAGAAGAAGAAACTTGAAAAAATAGAAATGTCGTTTTACAGAAGGATGGTGAGAATGTGTGAGCAAGGACGGAGTTATAGAGAAAATGTAAACAAAAAGGACATTTAACTTAACATCAGAAATCAGAAAGAGAGTTGAAATTTTCTAAAAGCTTTTCGCTATCAATTGAGCACTCTAGTAGCCGTAATGCTTATATCTCGTATATAAGGTGTTAAAAATTCCCTTTCTCTGCTGCGTGGGCTGATGGTCTAATGGTTCGGGTTTCGATCTTGGCTTGAAACAATCTCATATCTAGCCACATGATCTGTGATACAGCGAGTCTATGGATGACTATATATATATATCCAAGTATATGATTGGTGTATACGGAATAAATTCCAATAACCAAAAATGACTATTCTTAAAAGAGTGCTCAATACAGAGTAGAGCGAATATAATTATTTATTTAAAAATTATAACATAAATATGTTATAAAATCACTACAAAAATAGCCATTTTGTTTCAACACCTCTGGTGTCTTATCAAATGATGATATTGAATGGAGAGAGAGGGAGGGAGAGAGAGAGAGAGAGAGAGAGAGAGGAGGTATAGATATAAACAAGTGTAGGCACAGAAATCAACATTGCATGGTGACCAATCACCATGCGTTGTTGATTCCTATGTCAACGTTGTTTATATCTATTATTGATTGTAGTCACATACAATGAATAGACTAAAGACTGATCGATAAATAGATATGAAAAATCTGAGATTAATATTTGCATAGCTTTGTTTCCTGAGTAATAAGGTCAACTGAGTGTGTTGGAAGTTTTTTTATGCGGACAGAAAATCAGCATATAAAATCCTTGCTTTCTTGGTGGGTTCCAATTCCGAATACTGGCAATGAGAGGAATGACGCTACGATATTAAACATGAGATATGTTTCTAAGTTTAAAGCATTAAAGGTGATTCCGATAAACATGTCAGTACACAATATTTGATTAGTAAACGGGAAGTGCTGATTTGGTTTAATGATTGTGATTGCATCCTGTCAGTATTGACAATGAGTATAACAGCTTCATGCTGCGACTGTCTGAACTGGGAAATTAATTATGGGAGAATGGTTTTCACTTATTCTTACTTTTCTCCGTCGATAATCCTATCAGTGACGAGATATTTTTAAATTTCGGAGAACACTGTGAGGAAATAAAATATTTACTAAGCTTAATCTAGTATGGCATAAGGTTAAATAGTTTGGAGAGGGATCAGCGTTCGATTATTGAGGTCGGTGGCAGCTATGTGTCTATTTCACCTACTAAACAGGTTTGACAAGGCTGGTTTACATATTTGGCGTCTCACTGTATGGTGTGAACGAGCTTATCTTTTGCCTAGTGAGTTTGAACCTCACCAGGTATCCAATTATTAAACTGCAAAGTTTTACTTAGCTTTCTCCCAAGAATGGCTAATTTGTGGTGTAGGCTCCCGCGTGGATGTTTCCTGAACACTGCCAAACTTAACCTCTTCAAATCAAGGGTCAATCGTTATCTCTCCTCCTTGTCCTCATAATTAAACTTCTTGTCACCTCCTCTTACATTTATATCACACACCAGTAACACTTTGAGTGTTAGACTGACGGCCATATCACGTTGAAACATTGGTTCCCGTACGGTCACCGATGTTAAACAACGTTTAGTCTAAATGGGTGACCACTTGGGGATGTCAGGTGCTGTAAGCTTAGATGTGATATGGATAATGGCTCGGAATTGTTAATCGAATAGCCGAGTTCCAATTCCTGTTGGGTTCGTTATATTCACTTACGCGCAAATAACCTTGAGAAATATACGAATCCATCTCTTCTCCCCCAAGCTATGGGTTAATTAGTGAGAACTGTATATCTCCCCGCAAAATTCTTACAATCTAGAATAACTTGCAAAGGGTTGATAAACCGGAAAGAATACGAATCAGTCAATCAATCTTTTTTGAGTGCCTCTTGGGATTTTTATTGGGTGAACCTTAGCACAAAAAAAACAACCCCCTCCCCCAAAAAAAACAAAAAACAAAAAAAAAATAAAAAAAATAAACAAAACAAAAAAACCAAAACAAAAAACAAAACAAAAACAAAACACAAACCCGTTGTTTAGACCAGCGGTCGCCAAACTTTTGAACTTCATGGACCACTCAATATATAATTTTAAATTTGTCGAACGATTAATATACATTTAGAAAAAAAAGGTAAATATATTTATATAATAATAACAGGAAAACATTTATTTTATTAATATGAAATGTGGTCATTAAAGGTGACAAAGTTATAGTGTAATTATTTAAATAAAACAAATTGAAAATTTGTGATTTATTCAAGTTCATTAAAAAGATTTTTTGATTTTTTAAAAATATTCTGCTAAAATAATTTTCGTGTACGAATGCTTATGAAATTGTATCTGTTGCGTAATCCGATTCTTGAAGTTTCTGCTATTACTCTGTTGCTATGCCATGTTTGTAGAAAATTATACAAGTAAACCATCCAATAACTACTTATCAACAGTAATAGAAAGAAACTATTCAGTAACAAATACGGAACATTGCTTGAAAAGTCATGTTAAGTTATACTATGACTGGATGATGTCACATTTGTGTACTTGTGTACTCGTGTTTATTTCGAGATTACATAAGGTCTTGAACGTATATATATATATATATATATATATATATATATATATATATATACCATCCATAATACGTTTTGTTATTCGTCATTTTTGAATCTGAAGCTTCATAAAAATTGAAATAATGTCCCATTTTTTCTGCGGGCCATCAAAAACTTTGTACGGACCCCCAGTCGTCCGTAGACTACTGGTTGGCGACCACTGGTCTAGACAACCATTGTTACTATAGAGTGAATTCGATTGTTACATTTGTGTTTATGTGCCATTGGATAAATATCTGGTTGTTCATGTATTTTTCAGAGTTACCTATCCGGCTTTTAAAATAATAGTTGGAGATACCAGCTATTAACGATTACAAGTTGCAAATGGCAACAGAAAGCAGATTTCTACTCGGAACAAGGAAAAGACAGGTAGAATTCCTTGGATATATAATAAGGAAAGAGGGTTTGGAAAAAGTTTAATTCTTCACTGGGTACATTGCAAGCAAGAGAGAGAGAAAGTCTGTAAGCCATTAACCTGACGGGTTTGTTTGAAAGAATGGCACACGGAGCCTTTATAAAGGATGGAAAACTGCTAAGGATGGGAAGTTATGGAGGGCCACTATCGCCTAAGTCCTGACGCAACATAGAAGATGGAGAAAATGCTATAAAAATGGTGCGTGTCTCCCTACGTCGTTGTATATGCTGATTTTCTAAGCGTAACATAAATATGGCACAAGGCCGAAAGCATGAGGCACCCAGTGAGGATCGAATTCACTACCTTGTCCTAACTGATCTAGCTAGACAAGCTTGCTAACTATTACACCAGGTCGAGGTGCCACAATATATATATAGTGATTTTCCAAGCTTAGCTTAGATGTGCTACAAGGCCGAAAGTAGGGGTCACTTTCACAACTCAGTCGAAATTTTTCTAGCGAAACAAGCTTGCTAATCATTGCACCGCCTCGATGTGACCTGATTTAATAAGCATAGCTTAGTTGTGACACAAGGTCGAGATTAAGGGGCACCCAGTGAGGATCGAACTCGCTACTTGATCTAGAGAGACAAGCTTGCTAACCATAACACCACGTCGAAGTGACCAAACGTAATTGTGTATGTCTAAAAAACAGTAAACATCAAATGAACGGCAGCTATTACGATGATCTGACAAACAAATCATTGGTGTATTTCGTTTCATATTCTGTAAGTGTTGCAAATAAATGGTTTTTAAAGCATGAATACATTAACTATATTCTTTTTTTTTTTACTGAAAGAAAAAAAAGACAAAACAAAACGTCTTTCTGTGGTGACATGAGTTCATATTGACAATACGTTTGTTTAATCACAAAATATTTAAAAATGCGCGCTTTTATCTACCAGTATTATATATGTGGTTAGGTAAAAATTGCATGTTGGTTTTCTATAGCGACAAGATGTATAGGTAAGTTAACGATGTATTTAAATATAAAAAAAATGAAGCAAAAAGTAAAGAAAAGACGTGTTTTGATTCACGGTGACGTAACGTTCGTCTGTGTGCCTGATGAGAAGGGAGAGACCGAAGTAAGGAGACTAAAACGTCAGAGTAACTTTTGTTAGCCCTACGGGTGTCTGTCCCATAGAACGTATATACATGTTTCTTTTTTTTTTAAATTTTCTCTCTCGTTCTATAATTCCGTTAAAAATAAACTAGAATACAAGCAATGTGTCCGAATGACACCTTTTATTTGTACCTACCACCTAAAGCACACTATATGTATTTTAAGAAGGTTTGTTCGTTACTTTTAAAAAAATGTCATTATGAACTGATTTGAACGTGAACAAAACAAAGGCTATTATTGTCTGGATTGATGGCTTTATTTTTTTTAATTATCTCTACCTTCAAGTCTTCGAATTATAAAAAAGAAAGAAACACAAAACAAAAACAAAAAAAATACAAGAAAAAGAAAAACGAGTAGTTCTCATAAAATTAATTACGTATCTATCACTAAGGTGGATGAACTTTTGTTTCATTTTGATTAATTTAATACAAAGAAAAAAAAAGGAACATGTGTTATTATAGTCTTTCATTCTTTACTTGTTTTAATAAAGGCGTACGCGCGCGTGCACCCCGGTTAGAATATGTTGAACACTGTCAAAAAGAGATCACAAGTTTAAGGTCCCAAATTATCCCAACTGCTGTGGTGAGGGCACTCAGTCAGCTACATCAAAATACTGCTATCAACCGTTATGAATTGGGAGACGCTAAACTACGAAATCGCCAAATATCAAACCCATTTTGAAGGCGACATATAGGGTTTTTTTTTGGGGGGGGGGTTTACATTCGACATTGTAATTTTAAAAGTAAAACTATCGATTTCATGAACGAACATAGTTATAAGACTAGTCAAGTACCTATGTAAATGATAAGCATATGTATGTTTCTCTTTGGGTGTGTATCTTAATTAACATGTCTTTTATGTGTGAATTATACAGAAATATATAATAAACAGTATGAAAAATATTTTGCTTAACGTATAAATCCATATAAACTATATAAGCCGTCTTCATGTGCAGAATAAAGTGTATGACATTTTGGGCCTGGTAAGAAGGACCTGCCTGTCTTTCTCAAATGAACAAAGCTGTTTGAACAAAAATACATAATAATACGTACGCAAGTGTATATATTCCTCCGGGGGTCGTAGTGGATAATGTACGTGGTTATGTCAGTGACGGTTATGTATTACGAACCGAAGTGTATATATATATACATTTAGATATGTATATATATATATATATACATATACGTGGATATGTCGGATATATAACTGGTATGAAAAATCCGTCCCGAGTTGGTTTGAGGTTTCGTCTTGAGGCAATTCACACATACACACACACACGGGCAAAATGCTTCTTGTTGTCACGGGTCCTCCGTGTGCTGCCACAATAGTTAGTAGCAGTAATACTGGCTGTCTGCTGAGGAAAGGGAAGAGCTAAAATGGGAGGGAAAAAAAAACGAAAAGGGAGTAATTTTATTGTGGACGTAAGTCGAAGAAGGAGAAAAGAGGTAAGAGCAGGAGGAGAATTTAGGCGAGTGTAGGAGAGAGGGAGAGATATGGTGTAACGTAAAGGAGATGAAGCGAGAGAGGGATAGAAGAAAAGAGAAAGAGAAGCAGAGTTATAATAGAGAGGGAGAAGAAGATCGTGTATCTTTTATGAATGAGTGAGCCAGAGAAGGAGACATGATAAAAATATATGAGTAAATATAAGGACTAAAAATAAAAGATTGGATCGGAAATAGTGGAGAATATAATAGAAGAAAAGGTAGATAGATATGAACAGACTAAGACAGACAGATATCAGGATAAATATGGCAAATTATATATAGCATAATTATACATACTTACAGATAGATAGATAGATAGATAGATAGATAGATAGATATGACCAGATTGAGATAGATAGATAAATACAGCAAATTATATATTGCAAAATTATACATACATACATACAGACAGACAGACATAGATAGATAGATAGATAGATAGATAGATAGATAGATAGATAGATGTAAGTAGGTTATAATAGCTAGTTGGCTAGTTAACTCGTTACGTAGCTAAGATAGTTAAATTGATAAATATGAACAGACTGACATAGATAGATAGGTACGAACAGACTGAGATAGATAGATAAATAGATAGATAGATAGATAGATAGATAGATAGATAGATAGATAGATAGATAGATCTAAGTAGGTTTTAATAGTTGGCTAGCTAACAAATTAGGTAGCTTAGATAGATAGATAGATAGATAGATAGATAGATAGATAGATAGATAGATAGATAGATATGACCAGATTGAGATAGATAGATAGGTAGATAGATAGATACAGCAAATTATATATAGCATGATTATACAGACATACAGACATACATACATACAGACATACAGACAGATAGATAGATAGATAGATAGATAGATAGATAGATAGATAGATAGATAGATAGATAACCTCTTCAAGTCAAATGTTAATCGATATTTATCCTCTTTAGTTTCCTAATTTCCACTTCCTATCACCTCTGCTTTTGTTTATATTACGCACCTCCTTCATGAACTCTCTAACTTGTGGCTCTCGAGCCTTGTCATGCGTGACATTTAGTATAAAAGATGTATCAAGATAGATAGATAGATAGATAGATAGATAGATAGATAGATAGATAGATAGATAAAATTGTGGACCTTGTGAAAGTAGAAAAAATCATGAATTTGAAAAGAAAGAAAGAACGAAAGAAAGAAAGAAAGAAAGAAAGACCACCAGTACGGAAAGAGAAAGAAAAAAGAAAGAAAGAAAGAAAGAAAGAAGGAAAGAAAGAAAGAAAGAAAGAACAAGGATATGAAAAGAAAGAAATAAAGAAATAAAGCAAGAATAAAAGTTATCAACAAGAACGAAGGGACGAAAGAAAGAAAGATAAGAGTATAGAAAGAAAGAAAGAAAAAAGAAGGAAAGAAAGAACAAGGATATGAAAAGAAAGAAAGAAAGAAAGAAAGAAAGAAAGAAAGAAAGAAAGAAAGAAAGAAAGCATAAAAGTTATCAACAAGAGCGAAGGAACGAAAGAAAGAAAGATAATGGTATGGAAAGAAAGAAAGAAAGAAAGAAAGAGAGAAAGAAAGAAAGAACGAAAGAAAGAAAGAAAGAAAGATGGCTCACTGAATGATGTTAAAAGATATATTAAATAATCGAAAGCAGAAACCTGGAAAGATAAAGGGCAAGAGAACAAAACAACAACAACAACAACAACAACAACAACAATAATAATAATAATAATAATAATAATAATAATAATAAGAAGAAGAAGAAGAAGAAGAAGAAGCAGAGCAAGACAAAAAGCAAAAAAGAAATATTGAGGACAATGACAAGATTAGGTTAAACAAAAATTTCTTTCGCTTTAATTCGTGAAAGGCGAAAGAGTTTTTCTTCAAAGTCTGGCTCCCACTGCCCAATGTTGATGATATTTTAGACTTTAGTCTTTATTACAATGACTACTACTTCTGGCGACTAGTAGCCAGAAAATATGAATAGCCACAGTTATAATTTCCACTTATGAATGACTGCTTCAAGTGTCGTTACTATTACGACTACTTGTTATTTACTTGTTGTCGGCGCACACACGCACATGCAAGCGTACGCCTTAGCATTTTTAGCGGTAAAATCGTTTTTTTCATAAACAAGGCATCGCCAATCTTTGATTTACATCCCATCGTCATTACACATTTTTTCTTGTCTTCAATAGCAGTTTTAGAAAAAAAAAACTATAGGTATTATTTCTGAATAAGTACTTATTGCCTTCTCCAAGTGTCGGAGCACACGTTTAGTCTTGAAAACACTTGCAGCCATAATGAATTGCAGGATTCTCCTGTGAATGCGCCAGAGCAGAGTGATTCAATACGTATTTCCTAAGCTTATATAAGTCTGGCACAAGGCTGAATGGAGGTCAGGCACTACAGTAATCAAAACACGTCGAACTAGCCGAGTAACATGCAACACCCTTATTTACCAATCTTAGCTGAATGCGACACAGGGTTAAAGTACTGGGCATACAGTAGGAATAAAACCTACAAGATTAACGAATAGGTTTGCAAGTCGACTTTGCTAAGCAACGCACTACAGTAGACGTCCATTAAGCTTAGTTTAGTGCGACACAAGACAACAACAGTCAAGTACACCATGAAAATTCAACATCAGAAGAGTTTCCAAAGCAACGTGCTATGGTACACAGCTTTAGATATTCGCTAAGTTTAACACGAGGCTGCTGTAATGGGACATTTATTAAGGACTTACGTTAGTCGCGGAGTCAACTACAAATCGAGCTTGCTAATCAGTGCGCTACAATAGACACCCGTTGAGATTTTATAGGGGTGTTGGTAATGGTAAGACTAATATTAACCGTTGTTCTACAAGGAAACATTTAGCATTCATTGACTAAGCAGCTAATACTGCTGTCAGTTAAAATTTATGAAATCATTCTCTTACAACGATTTTTATTTTAGGAGTAAAGAGTTTCTCAAGTCCAGTAGCTGTTATCGCTCTTTCGAGTACTGATGGAATTTTCTTTCCTGACCTTTTATTTGAAGTAGTGTTGAACGCTAACATCTTGATTATATCATTACTTTCTCTTCTCAAGTTCAGTAGCTGTTATCACTGTTAGACGATTACTGTGTAGAGTTGTATTAATGTAACAAAGGACAAGATAGATTGAAAGATAGCTAATTTCAGACTTGAAGAAGCGAAGATTTAATTAACGAATAAAATGTCAGAGTTCAGGTGGGGACTTTTGGGAGTATAGAGTAGACTTTAGAAGAGACTAGAAACCCAATCCTAAATGGAAACAAGGGATAGACCACTACTCCTGTTCAAAAAAACCGAGGGGATATGAACCGGACGATAGGCAAACCTATCTACACCATACATGACATCCATATTAAAGTCTCGAATCGTGAATATATGAACTTAGCTGTTTCCATACAGGAAGCATTCGGCCTTCATTGGCCGAAGAGTTAGCGTTATTGCTGGCAGAAATTTAGAAATTCTTTCTTTTAAAAATGTTTTCAGAAATTAGACATTACTATAGTCAATATATTCTGAATGGGTTCCTATATTAAAATCATTTTCAATGCATTCCTATAGCAATGGTAATGATGAGATTGACCGTTTCCATACAGGAAACATTCGACATTCATTGACCGAACAATTAGCGTTACTGTCGATTGGAAATTATAAATTAATTCTCTTAAAGCTGTTTTCCAGAAATTAGACTATACTACAGTCAAATCATTTTTAACGGAATCCTATATTAAAATCATTTTCAATGCATTCTTTAGCAAAGGTAATGGTGAGATTGGCCGTTTCCATACAGGAAATATTCGACATTCATTGACCAAACAGTTACAGTTATTGTCGATTGAAATTCATAAATTCTTTCTCTTAAAACTGTTTTTCAGAAGTGAGACATTACAATAGACAATTCAGTTTGAATGGATTCCTATATTAAAATCATTTCTAATGCATTCCTATGGCAATGGTAATGATGAGATGAACCGTTTTCATACAGGAAAACTTCGACCTCCATTGAGCGAACAGTTAGTGTTAATGTCGGTTGAAAATTATAAATTCTTTCTTTTAATACTGTTTTCCAGAAATTAGAGTTCCCAAGTCTACTAGCTGTTATCGCTAGTTCTTGTATAAATGCAGTTTCCTTCCAAACCTTTCGTTTTGGGTAATATGAGGAGTCAGCATGTTGGTTATATCATTATTTTCCTTTCGTGTTACATATGCTACCAAATTTTAGTTGTTGCTATTGTTGGAAGTCTTCAATTGACGTGGATTTTGTTATTTGATAAAACTCTTTCTGCCTTAGTAGCGCCAGCCTATCTCTATTTTTATAAAAGCAATTTTTTACTTGCTCTGAAGAGACTGCGGTGTGTAGATGAAGTTGCATGCCAAATCCTGACTCCCCACCATGGCATCCATATGAAATTTTCGATCTGATGAGGTTATTTAAGAACATGCTACTTGTTTACAAGTTAATATTTTCGTTTCCTAACGAGTAAAGGAATGCTGGACTGTTACGAGATATCTATCCTCCAATATGCAAATGAATGCTGGACAGTGAATGCTGGACAGTCTCCTCACAGATAAAGAAGAGACTTGAAACAACAGAAACCAAAAAGAGTGTACTGAACTGTTACGTGATATCTGTCCTCCTATATGACAGTGAATGCTGGGCAGTCTCCTCACAGAAATGTTCCTTTACAGATGGATGCTGGGGATACCGTAGACCGAACATGTGAGCAGCGACGAAGTGTTGAAGAAATGAAAACAAAAAGGTAAGTAATACTTAACATCAGGAAAAGACAGTTGAAGTTTCTGATGCACATAATCAAGAAAGAGTGCTTGGAAAATCTGATACTCAAAAGACATATGAAGGGTAAGATGAACAGAGGAAAACAACGAATTAGTGATCTTGACTAAATGCATGGCGGAACAGGGCTTAGGAGAAATAAAAGAGACACAAAATTTATTAAGAGCTACACGGAACTGGAAGTTGTAGAGAACCTTGATCTCTTAGGTCCTGAGTGAATATGACTCATAAAGAAACATCTTATCATGCTGGTAAAAAGTACTCCTATGTTCAATTTCCTTTTCTACTAATTTTATTAAATTTGTATTGACAGATCCATACACCAAAGTCTTTGAAGTGTTTAGAGTTTATGGATTTCCTATTGTGATGTTTTTTAAGATGTTTTCAGGCTTCTCTTTTGGAAAGATTTAAGTCCAAACTTCTTGGTACACTTTGTAAGGAATCCCGATATTTTATACCAACTATGAAGACCTACGCCATCAGCAAAGCTCCCTCCACCCTCTGCAGTTACCCACTTTTGTTTATTAGACAGTGAATTGTGTCACTTCGTGTCTTCCATAGCTTGCCTGACTTTTCGGCTAACCTGATGAATATTAATCAGTGTTCTTAAATTTAAAAATTTTGAAAAAAATAAATACAGACACAATTAATATAGGAAGTAAACTTTTAAGAATTGTGGTAAAATTTAAAACTTTTTTTTTCTGGGTACCATGATTTTCTACGGGTATATTTTTTTCACGATAAGGGAGTTCGAGTATTTGAAATATTCACAGAAATGGATACGTGTTTGATACAGAGAAAGTTTATGCATTTTAATGTATCTCAGTGCTCAAGGTTTACAGAAGAAAAAGAAATATTAATGCATTGGCATAGTGAACGTGGAATTGTAGGTTTCAGTTGTCGGCGCGCCATTACTTCTCTTGCCGCTTCGCTTATCTGTTTCGGTAAAGGGAATCATTTCTGTTGAGATATGTGTCAACGAGATGAAATTTTTGTGTTGACTGACTACAACCTATTGCAAGAAGTCTCGTAGTTTTTCTCCTATATTGAACCGAGAATTTATTGAAGCCATCAGCGATTGGTCAAAGTTTCTTTATTCTTTTATACCTTGTGATCTGATTTTCGGCAATTGAAAAAGAAATTATTTTACATTTTATTTTTGGAAGCTTTTTTTTCTTAGAGACTGTCGTGC